AATTATAATTAGTTAATTTTTATGACGAACTAGGTAAAAAAATATTAAAATATTTCTTCGACTTTATTTTTGTAATAGATTATATTGTTTTTAGGATTAAAAATACACATATACACGAGTATAAAAGTAGATTAAAGTTTTTTATGTGTAACTGCAAAAATCTAAATACCCACACTACAATATGCTTGTTAGTATAAAAGAATTAGGAACTAAAATATTTACCTACATACAGTTATAAAGTATGAAAACTTTAAATTTAGATATTGAACTATTAAAAACTCAATAACTCAATTGCATACGTTGTTAAATTCGCTGATGACGTTCGTACTGTATAGGGGAATGCCCACTACCCATAGACACTTTGGCCCTAGGTGCACACATATAAAAGCATATGGAAATGATAATATACAATTTAAAGAATGAAATGTTTAAGGAATTGGTATTAAAAAAAGTCGGGATTTTTAAGATATAAAATGATTTTAATTTTCAGAAATAACTACAGTTTTTTTTTCTTATTCATCATTTTATTGTTATTTTCACATACAATATCAAGTTATATGTAGTTCTTAGGTATTTTATAATCATACATCATTTGTGTCATACACAATTAGTACATCATCCAGGAATTGAGCCGGAGGAAAAATATTTGTTTGATGTCGTGCCCAACCCAAATACCATATTACTGTCATTATATGGGCACAACATCCTACCGTTCGACGGCCAACAATACAGTTACAACAATACTTTTTGATTGCACTTCTGCCAGAATCATTGCCACTAATTAAAATAGATATAAAATATATTTTTCGACTGATGTGTCGACTTGCGATTCTAGCCCTAAGTAAAGAGCAGTTAGGACTAAGGTGTATTCCTTCCATAATGCTGCTCCTATGGTCATTGCATATTTTTATGTGGTAGCAACCATTAGCTCTTATATGCTCACCATAATAGGAGCGAGCTTGCTTTAATTGGTATGTACCACAAGCAATTAGTACTAAGTCGCTGTAAGTTAAAATAGGAAATTCCCTAACATTTTCGGAGCCTACGTTTATATTTCTAAAGTCTGCCCTAGCTCTATTAAGATTGCGTTCCCTAACATATTCAGATAAATCATTATTTGTTTCCATATTCTGATGAACTATTTCTAGTATTTGAGCTGCATCATCCCTGTCCCTTATTTTTGTGTGGAATTTATTAATTAGGGCAGCAGCCACAGTAAAATCTATCATCAAATGTGTAGAAGCCCTGTTAAAATAGTTTTGGCGAAATATTTTAAATCTTGTTTTAAAAATGCCATTCACCACCTCTACTACCCATCGACACATAGTCACGGCTCTGGACTTATTAGCGTCTCTTGTTGCTAGCTGTGATTCACCATTTTCTGGAGACAAAGGCACATGAACCTGATAACCACAAGGCTCTAAAAGAGGCAATGAGTCCCTAAAACCTCTATCTAGGATGAATACATCTCCAGATTCAAAGTATTGCCTTAATGAACTGGATTCATCCACAAATTCATTTTTTATGATATCTGCATCTGAGGTTGTTGCAGGATAAGGGCCAAGAACATCTATAATGTAACCATCAGTACACACAAAAAGAAAAGGCTTTACAAGATTGCGATATTTGTGTAATGAGTAAGTTTTCTTTTGATGTAAATAATTGGAACTTTTTTCGATGTATATATATGTACCATCGGCAATTATGATGGGCCTCCTATCTTCACCCCCATAAAGCCCATTTGGAATAAGAAGATTTCTTTGAGCTATTTCTGCTCGGGATATATGATTTATACCCACATTTCTAGGAACAAAATCCTGATTTAATATTTCGCGGGCCATATTCATAAGCCACTCTAACGTGCTTCTTGGCACTTGCAACAATGCAGACATGCGTTCGTCACTATCTCCTGTTCTTAACTTCATCAAATAAGCAGCAAGAGCAAAAGAACCCCTATGTTTATTTGAAAGTCTTGGAACTTGAGACAGAATTTGTTGGTATTGGCCTTTTGTTAAGCCTACATAATAATGTAGAGTATGGTCAGGCATACTCTGAATATTATCAAAGTCTAAATGACTATGCATATTATCTTTCAATAATGTAGCAAAATCTTCAATTTGTGCTGCACTAAATGTTTTAATAGGATTATTAATTGATCCTAAAAGTAAATGCCAAGAGTTACTATATAAATGGTAGTCACAGATTCTACATTCTGGAGGAACATAATAATTGTACTCACAAAAAAGACGTACTCGCAATATCGATGGAACAGTGAGTCGATGGGAATCATTACAACCAGGAAAAAAACATTGATTTTGTGTAATTGGTGCTCTTACATAATTAGGCAGCAGTATACTGTCTGATGTATCTAAGCTTTGTTGTTCAGGATGCAATACATCGCTAGCTACTTCAGATTGCAACGAGGACAGACTAGATGGTTCGGAGGTTTCACGGTCTACAGTTGAATGTGATGCTGCTCTATCAGTCCTTCGCCAGCAATTATGACACACACGAGATGATGATGGCAACTGAAACAATAATTAAACCATAAATGAAGTAAACAAAATCAAATTAAACTAGATAAATGGTTAGAACAATACAGCCCACTGGGCTAAACAACTATGTTAACATGAAAAAACTTTTACATCATATACTTTTATTCCAGTGCAATGATGTGAACACATCAGCTAGTTAGCGGCTAATCCATAACCAATACTTTATATTAAATGTGAAAGTGAGATTGTTTGTTTGTTACGCTATCACACAATTCTTTTACCAATGGAAGTTGTATTATCAGCGAATAACATTTTATACACATAAATTAAAAACTGTTATACACTTACCTCACGTGGTGCAATCTGTTGCACAATCACATTCCTTATGAGTTCCTCACGTGGAGAATCAGAACAGAGTGAGTGTTATCTTATTCTCAAAAGTGACCTGCCACAGCTGATGCACACAAGTCCATGACCAACAATCGGTGCATTCTGCTGTTCACTAGTTGGATTTCGTATTTCATTCCAGGCTGCAATCCAACACGAGTGGCACACTACATTTTCACTCGAAACTTGTACCTAATAATAAAGATGCCATTATTATTAGATATTGATATTATTTTAAGTCTTCTCAGCTAAAAAGCATTTCTAAGAGGAAGAAATGTCATGGATTAACTATTTACCTGCTGAGGTCGAACCCATTGTTGTATTAGATTTCGAACTTCTTCTATTTCCAACAAATGTCTTCGCATCTGTGTGACGTTTATATCACAATTGACACAGCGTAAATGTCCTCTTGAAAGAGTTACTGTGGGCTGTGAAGAACTCTGGCCGGTGTGAGAGCTGGGGTCATCATTTTCGATGGATATTGAGTCCAAGTTCGTGCGGGAGTTATCGTGAGAAGCGGGAGCGGGATCCATGTTCAGGCCGTGGTCAGTAGGGTAAGAAAAATTGTCGGAGTCCATTTAGAAAGCTTATTAGTTGTATTGTAAGAAAACAAACAAATAATAGAAATGCAAATGAAGTTGTGATTTCACGTAATGGTGACAGATTGTGTCCTTGCTGTTTCAATGCATTCGATGTTGCCACTTAACAGCCATAAAATCGGAAATGGTTATCGATTATTTGTAAAATATAATTTCATATGAAATAATAATCTACGATGTGTCTTTAAATTCTGTACGCCTTTTAGTGTTTTTTTAAATTATATCTATCTATCTATATTAATTTATTTTATTATATCTTAAAAGTATTTTAAAGAACAGATGAAGAAGAAGAATGACAATTAAATTGTACAGTAGCGTCTTTGCTCTGATTTAAAGAGTTTATGGTAATTCAACTAGCAATTCGCTTATATTATTATCGTAACATCATAATCATTAACGAAATAAGGAATATTAATATATTAATTATTTATTTTACGGGCTCTTGAGAAGACTCAAGGCATCTTTCCTGACTTGATTATGGTAATCAGTTAGTGTCTGTTGTATTCCGCCGTGTTTATCTGCTGAAAAATTAATTTAAGGGTTTTGCGTATGAAGTTTTTGTGTATTAGTTTAAATTAATGTAATTTAATTTAACTTTTGTTACATCCTTATGGGCGATTATGCCTAAAATAAACAATAAATAAATAAATAATATTAGCACTAACACAATGAAATCATAATAATTACCGAAAATCGAATAATATAGCTATAACATAATGCTGGCTGTGTTTGGCAGAAAATAGCGCTAGGAAGCGCTTACTAGCGCTGACACAGTTTTCGGCCAGGACACGTTTTCTAACTTCAGTAGCGCTGACACAATCCGCCATTTTGCTTATTTATTTTGTTTATTTTAAAAGTAGAATTTATAAGATGTTTTGTGCAAGTAATATTAAAATAAATAATAATGTCAGTCCAAAAAATAGTAAAATATATGTGTCATTTGACAGCGCTTTCCGCTTAGCGATCGCCATTTTGCTTACAAGCGCTTCCTAGCGCTATTTTCTGCCAAACACAGCCGACATCATAAATAATAATAATCGCTTCATAAATAATCGATTTTTTGAACGAAATTAGTAATTGGGAACACTTAATATTTTGCCAGAAACCAATGAAATACGGATTATCGTAATTTCACTTTTATCTTTTCGGTACTTTTATTTTCTGTTTAAATGTTGCAGACCTGTCAGGATAAATGAATACCCCAATTAATAAACAGAAAATAAGATGTTTTTTTCTAAAAAAAGCAAATTGTTGTGCATTTCATGGCCGAAAATGGGCATTCCCCTTTGTGAATTGGTGAGAAAAAATTGATTTGACTCAGTGAACTACTTTTCTAATTGAATACAAACGTATGTTTAGGAAAAATTTAAGATATATATTAAATGAATAACAAAATTAACAAGCTATTGAGTTAGGATATAACAAAATATTTGATTACTTAAAGATTAAAAAGCGAATGACTTCAAAATATTATCTAAAACATATTATGTATTTGTAGTTAATAATTAGGTTACTGTACCTTGTAGGCAGAATTCACTTTACACAAAAAAAAAGTGACACAAGACTCCAAGGCGCTATAAGACGCGTGCGCGGACACCGAACGTACACTAACGCCTGAGCATGCGCTATTCTACTCAACTTTCTCCGATAACGGTAACCACTACTTTTCCATCAACTCTTCTAGCGTGTGCCACTATTGCCAGTCACTAGAAATGACGTTGGAATAAGTGCACACTTGTATTTCTAGGTTAAGATGAAATGGATACAAGGAAGGCTATCAACATAATTTTCGTATGTTTTGAGGAAGCAACTCCATGATTAATATTCAATGGAATGGAAAAAGAGAGCAAAATTAGATAAATAATTGTGGCTTTGATCACGGTACTATAAATATATAGTCTTTAAGTATAGCTATGGTTTGTGTTGCGTATAGAAAGGGTATTGGGTTACCGAACGACCTTCTGTTTATAATGGATTTATGGTATACCTAGTGGCTAGGTACTAATTTTGCGACATTATGTATAATAAATAATCCAAGTTTAATTTGCGAGCGCTCAAAGCCTCAATGTACCTACGTCAAATCCCGAGTCCGAAGTACTCAACTTGTGCTCTACATTTTAGCGAATGAGAGTGTACCGGCGAGGTCTTCACCACTTTAGCACTCCACTGTCATACCTATTGGAGATCTCGAACCCAAAGCTCGATATTATATTCATATATTCTCTATTCACACTGAAATGTGCCGCATCTTAACGCTAAACTATAATTTTATTTAGTTTTCAGAGAAAAATAACTTATCCTCATATCCACATTTATGTAAGTTGTGAATATATAAGGTAAAGAATAGTTGAGCAGACTGAATTGAGTTCGAATTATTAATTTATTAAAATATATGTTCAGATAAATGATAGAGTTACCATAATCCTTTTTAGCAGAAACATTCCTATCCTGTGAAAAAACAAGCACGAAACATTCAATTTTTTAAATGTTGTTGATCTTCCACCACCACCACTACCAACAGCCTATAACAGTCCACTGCTGGACATAGGCCTCTCCATATAAAGGAGGTTTTGGCCTACTATACCACGCTGGCTAAACGGGTTGGTATAGGGTTTGTTTCAAGTTTTCCTTCTCTTAGCAGTGCTGTCGTCCTGCGTAGTTTGCTCCCTTAGTCGGCTCTTACGACACCCACGGGATGAATAGGGGTGGTAATCCGTCACCACACGGACACATAAATTGTATTAAGGTAGTTCGGAATGGGTGATTGGCTATCATCGCATTGTAAAGTCAGTGGACATAGGAAGAGGTTCTTTTCTTTGTCACACATGCATCGTTTATTACAGAGATAAGACTGATTTCTGTGGAGAATGTATGAATTCAAGAGAGAGACCTTCTACACAACTCTTTTTAGATACGGTGGAAATCATCAAACTTTGTTCTCCAGCAAGGGACAGGAATAGCGAAAAAATAAATATCTTCTAGTAGATTACGGGAATAATGAACACAAATTACACATTTACACACAATTATATAACATTAATGTTTACATACTTTACGCATAATAAATATATACTTCATAAGTATGTACACTTGAACACATTAATGTACTGTAGTTATTTTCCTCTATTTCAACATTATTGTTGTTTCGACATTTGGACATTTCGAGTTCGTCGACATTTTTAAAGACCGAGGTCTTTTGCGTTTTGTATAAAGTACATCCCTGCATCAATACGAAGGGTATTATATGAATATAAAATACAAAATACCACTTAGCTCCTTCATATTTTAATTAAACCACGAACACAAACAAATTGCTTAAATCGAGCTTCACACTCGACCAGCTGTTTTAATCAGACCCATAAAAGTCAAAACAGAATTTAAAACTGAGCACTAAAATGCAGTCAAATGGTACGCGTGTAATACAAATATAAAATGTGTTTAAGTTACAAGAACCAATGATAAACCTATTTGTATTCAGGTCTGGTAAAATTCTCATTAGGTGGGGCCGCACGCGTTAGTAATGTCCTCGACGCTAAGAATTCGTATTAATGGGTAAATTGAAATTTGATTCTAAAATAGATTGTGTTGCAAAGAACTGAATATGGTTGACAATTGGAGACCGACAGGGTCTTCAATTGTCCAGTGGATAAGCGGGTGGTACAGCTGCCTTGCGATTGTATTTACAAGAGAGGGTAGACGTATAGTTATTGGCAGAGTTAGGGCTTGTGTAAGTTTGTAAATGTGAGTATAGTGTAGGCTTGTAATGTTAATTCATATTTTAGTAACTTTCTGGTGGTTTTGAGTGCTCCACGGCCTACTCAAGAGTCCTGCTGGCGGGAGTGTCGTGTTCCGTGTTGTTGATCCTGACTATATCGGTTAGGCTACACGATGACTGGGCCCTTATGCTGTGTGTATGGACAAAGCTATGGTCCTTTCTTCAAAAGGCCAACCCAGATCCTATACTGCACTCGCATAGTTCTCTTAAACATTGTACACGGACTTAAAAAAGACACCTCTGTGGTTTGTTTCGGCTTTTCTTTACAGAGTGAGTCTTAGGAAATGCCGGAAGTGAGTCTTAGGAATAATATCTGAAAGGATTTACTTGCAGAAATAAAAATCATTTCATCAATTCATTGCATTTACAACGTGCTGGTAGTAATTAACAATTGTGAATATCATCATCATCATCATCAGTAGGTCATATGAATTAAATGTTCATTTGTTGCAAGGGTAGGGTTAACGAAGCACATCTAGAAAGGAGACGCAAGCGAAGATTCTCAGCAAACGTCTAAGTGAAAAGCTTTACAGTTTTTATAATATTAAAGTTGTTTAAATTTAAAGAAATATCAGCTTTTTAATAAAGCAACGAGAGCATATGACACGGTTACATCGGATTTTAATTATGAGTTATTAAAAATCCCTAAGCGTATATCTAGTAATTGTATCTCGGCTATAAATCTCTTACTGCAAAACATGTACTCGTACCACAGGGCGGCGTACTATCTCCCCTACTTTTTATCTGTTTCTATCAATACTGTCACTAATGATCTATCTTCTTCAAACACCTATACGCGGATGATCTCCAGATCTATTCAAGGGCTATATCGGTTAATCTGGCTGATGCTGTTAGCACCACAAACGTTGACCTAGATAAAATATGTAGGTGAATCAACTCCCACGGTTTAAAAATCAACCCAACTAAGACTCAGGTCAAATGGAGTGGACAAAACTTCCTTAAATCACTTGCAATGGCACACCTATTCCATTCAGTGATAGGGTCAAAACCTGGGATTTACATTTATAGTACCTTATCTTAGGGTCCTCAGTTATAAAAGCTGAATCGCAAAATGTTTGCCGCTGCAATTTTTTTGCTCCGACTACGTAACTTTCTACCTTTTTTTTTTTTTTTTTTGTAACGTGTGGAAATCCCCTCGGACCGTCACCCCACCGGGGTTCGCGGCGGGGTGGTGTGTCGGACTCGGACCGACTAAAACCACACGGTGTGCCACTCTGCGCCTGTAATAGGAGGGATCCGGGAACAGCTGTTATTAAGACATCCAGACCCCTTCTAGCGCCGGCCCCCTCCTGTTGCGGGCTCCGTCTCAAAAATTATTTCCTCTCTTTAGGCGACGTCCGGCACACGCGGACGCCGCCCCCTCGCGGCTGGCCAAACTAATGCGGGTGGAAGGGAAACCCACCCCGTCCACCCGCGGCCACACTCAGGGCGGCATGAGGCGGTGATAGGCGCGCCTCCGCCGCCCGGTTCGCCGGCGGCGGATCGGGTCCGAGTGGAGGTCGTCCTCCCGGGCCTTCTCCGCCGCCTCCTTCTGCGAGATTACTTACTCGCAGAAGGTTGCGACCGCGGTAAAACAACTGTCGCTACCGGCCATGGAGCGTACTACGGCCGGTAGCGAGAGATCCACTCCGATGACTGCAGTGAGGGCCCGGCGTTGCGTCGCCCATGCGGGGCAGACCGCCAGCGTGTGCTGGGCCGAGTCCTCACTGCAGTCGCAGTGGTGGCAGGCGGGACTCAGTTCCCTCCTAGCGACCGAGTGCAGGTACTTTCCGAAGCAACCGTGCCCGGAAAGCACCTGCGTCAGCCGGAAGGTAAGGGTCCCGTGCTGCCGCCCTGCCCACTCGGCGATGACCGGCTGGAGAAACTCCACGGCGGCGAAGCTCTCGCTCTCCGCCCGGGAGTCAGCCACTCGCCGATAAACTTCGGCGAGCACTTCCGCCTCCAAATCCCACGGGGAAGTTCCGGCCAACGCGCACGCCACCTCCGTCGAAACGGTGCGGTAACCGCGTATGGCTCGGACAACCCCCGTGTACAGCCGTCTTGTCGCGGCGCTAGGTCCACCCAAATTGGGCAAAAGTCGCCCTAGAGCAGACGCAGCGCCGACCAGCTTTGGAGCAAGCTGTCGGAAGTGCTCGTCGAGGATCAGGCCCAGATATTTCATCTGGGCCCGAACCGGTACGAGGACCGAGTTGACCACGATTGAGGCGCCAGGGGGTGGACCACGACGGGGCACGTAGCTTTCTACCTACTCCAACCAAGATTGCTCTTGCACAATCCCTTCTTCTCTCCTTAATTATTCTGATGTCAGTTATCTAGATCTTACTAAAGAAAAATTGAATAAGCTTGAGCGACTCCAAAAACTCTGTATAAGATTCCTATTTGGAATTCGCAAATATGATCATGTTTCTGAATATCGCAAAAAGCTCAAGTGGTTATCCATTCGCTCTCGCCAGAATGCACATATTCTTTGTCTTCTCTCTCTCTCTATAATATTCTATTTAATCCTTTTACTCCACGTTACCTCAAATCACGGTTTACGTTCTTGAATGACACACAACCCAAACTGTTGAGATCGTCAGAGAACCTGAAACTAAAAATGCACTAAAATTCCACTAAATTCCTCACTAAATCTGTCGTGCAAAAACACTCGCTTCCTTCAAGAAACAAATAAACCTGGGAGACTTCAATGTCCTATAATTATTAACTTCTACTAAGTCAATAAGGTCACATTATTTCTTATAAAATATGTATTTAGTACTTATAAAGCACACTATTTAAGTATATGTATCTAATAACACCACTAGCCGTGTTCAAGTCATAATATATTCCCTTTAGTATGTTATGTATTCACCTAAGACCAACAAGTAGATACTATGTGTAATTCTCACTTCTTTATAGTTTTATATACACTTACTTTGATTTCCTCTTCTTTTCTGTCTCCTAATACACTAGCCACTACCCTATACCTCTTCCCCTTCATGTTTTTCTCTCCATACTACGGTTGGCTGTAAGGCCGTTTATAAGTTTAAGGTAATTATTGTATATTTATAACTGCTACTAACACATCAACAGCCTTTAGTAGTCCACTGCTGGACATAAGCCTCTCCTTAGAAAGGAGGTTTTGGCCTACTATACCACGCTGGCCAGACGGGTTGGTATAGGGTTTTGTGTCAAGTTTTCCTTCTCTCTGCAGTGCTGTTATTCTGCTTAGCTTTTTCCCTTAGTCGGCTCTTACGACACCCACGGGATGAATAGGGGTGGTGACACTCTGTATTCTGAATCCGTCAACACACGGACTTATAGTTGTACATCGAAATGAAATGTAATTAATGTAAAATGCAATCGTGCTTTCATAGAAAAAGAAATACACGTGATATCTCATTATACCCTCCCCCCTCCCCTCCTTATGATATTTCGTGATTTTTTTGAGCCTCACGTGACTATCCCTAACATTATAATAGCAATAGATACCTTCTAGTCTGTTTGAAGTCGGTGCCAAGCCAAGTAGGTACTTGATAGGCGGGCGGCGCGGCTATGAGGGTTTTCATGCTGCGCAAAATATGCTAAACGAGCTAAAGTGGGTTACGCTTATCTCAAATGATATCATAATTGTTAATACATTATTATATATTGATAAGTATGCGTAAGTAATTGGTTAGGTTGGTCTTAATTAATTAACAAATTCTGAGATGTTGAATTATAATTATAATACCAGTATATTGAATTCTTAATTTTTATTGAGCTCATATAAAGCTGACGTAGACCCTCAGCATTACTTATTGTGCATTGGGCTTGGCACCGACTTCAAACAGACTGGAAGGTATCTATTGCTATTATTATGTTACCTGTTATATCGAGGGTTGCACCTATTTTAGAATTGTATGTTTTTTTTTTTAATTTTTAGTGTTCTTTGTTAGTATTATTTGAAGTCGGTTCAACTTTTTTTTTTAGATTTATTTTACTATTTTTAATGGTTTGTATAAGATTTGTAATGAGTAGATACGATATTTAAAACACTCCGTACTGTAATGTTTATATCACCAAACTGTGGTCTGTTAGATTTAGTTTATGTTAAATTTAAACCCAAAAATATATTGTTTTTCACATTACTTAAATTTCCACCAATAGTAGTGGCATATAATTGCGTAACAATTTTTTATTGTCTACATTCTATGTAATCCCATTTATTACTTTCGTGTGCACATATCTCTGTAACCCAACACAGGCACCTAAAAAATATCTTGAAAGAATAAAGCAAGGTCAATACATGATTAAATTATTGAAAGAGTTATCCTCTAACTCCTAAAGGTCAAGGCCGTAAAACATGAGCTAACGACTACTAAACGCAAATATCTGTAAGTATAGCTAGACAAACAAGCTAAAACACGTTGTCAGGGTCTGTAAAATTTGAGGGTATCCCTCGAATTCTCTGGGATCCATCGTCAGATCCTGATTTGATTATTACCAAATTAGGATCTGACGATGG